CCGGCAGCGAAAATATGTATTACTATTATAGAGGTTATTATTACTTGGATTATAATTTAATTAAAATTAATTTTAATTTTGTGATTGATACAGAAAATATTCTAATGTAGAAAGAGACAAAGGAAACTTTCTTAGAATCATTGTTAAACACGTGCCAACAATGGTATCAAGATCGAATAAAAATTCTCTACGATGGATCCAGTTACCATCGTTACTCCGCCTTCATGACATTTTTGAACGAGATGTATTGTCAGGTAGAACAAATTCTTTTTGTCTCATAAAATAACTTTGGGTAGTTATTTGATTCACAAAACTCCATAAAATATATAGTTGGAATATTATGGATTGTATTACTAGCTCTGTCAAATCAGTCTACTTTTAGCTGCATTGTAAATCAGAAAGATTGATTTGTAACGTATCCAATCTCATATATATGTATGATTTTGGTTACAGTTAAAGCGGAGGCAGCTTCAGTTAAAGACACAACAGGAGGGCGTTCCTCCCGGACGTGTCCTTCTCACGTTGCTTTGGAAGTGTTGCCAAGACTGCTTACAACCTCCGGTTGTAAATTCTTTGGCTGAGGTAGGCTTAACAGAGCATCGATACAATTAAAATAATAATTCCAAAATATCCTATATTCTTATTGTCTAATTTATACATTATAGTACATTATATGAAGTGACTAAAAAAATAATTCTTTTTCTTCATGTTAAAGACTGACTGCCTATTCTTCATTTTAACATGTATCGGCAAAGACTTGGACGCTGAATTACCAGCCCAATTGCAGCAATTACTTGGAAGCCTACGAGATGCTTTTCTCGCAGAAGACACAATATTACCGTCAGTTCGGAAGACTCTGTTGCAATTGATTGAACTTCATGCTGCGCATTGGCAGCTCCCAGCACCAGCAGTCGTTTATTATTATCCTGGTTCGACCTCGAAATGATATTACCATCCTCTTGATTCCTTCGTCCGTTCGTCGATTTTCTGTGCGAATACGAACAATATGGATTTGTAATCAGTGTGAGCCCGTTAACAGAATCACTTGTATTTGAACAGACACAAACAGCGTGCATCATGCAAATAAAAATGAAATATATGCTGTTAACATAGGCCGTGGGAGATAAAAAATTTGTTGGAGGTAATATTGTTAATTTTACACGTCAAATTATTGTGAAAATCTTAATTTATATTATGAATGATGGTATTTTCTACATGAACTGTAGTTTTTGATTGTTTTTTATTCACAGCGCTATATCGCCTAAACTAATTAGGGGATTTCGTAATTGAAAAATCGAAAGATATGTTGAAACATGGAACACTATAATATCTAATATTATAGAATTCTTTTTGAATACTTAATTTGTATAGTAATAATGCAACGTTGACAATCCTCAAATTAAGAACATGTACTTTACTTTATTTACATAATTATACATAGCGTCTTGAACGTGTGATATATGCCTCGAAATCGCAAAAGAGAAATATTTTGCGACGCGTTCTTGTGAAATCTTTTTTCGATTAATGTTCAAGCGATTATGGATGACCGATGCGTCAGTTAGTGAAACACGAACAACCGTGATCCCGTTACCACAAAGAATGATTGTGTCTTGTGCAAAAAATGATTTGCAACGATTGTTATTGCGCATCTTTATTAGAAATGTCGCAAGAGTCTATGTTCAATTTTATATACGATTAGTTTATTCGAGTGAATTCTTGAGTATCTATAATTCATTAATGACAGAATTCAGTAGATTTCTATGGTTTCGGTAATATTTTTCTTATGGTTTACGGCTTAGAAATTATTCCGTTAGTAAGTCAATAGGTCAGTAAAACGAGGCCAGTTGAAAACGGTACATTATTTGTCCAAAATCGCGCGAGCATTACGAGTCTAAGAGTTTTAAAGGATAGGTTGTAGACTCATAATTGTACAAGGATATAAAAAATTAGACATGTATATACGTAACGAAGTAACGAATGATTCAACGAACTAGATGTTTGCAAGGAGTATGTCATCATTGGAGGATCAAAGAACGCGGATAATCACGAACTTCGATAAAGATATTCCGAATTTTTCTCCGCTTTTTCCGTAAATACAATGCTATATACGAAGTATCTTAAAAAAGATAAAAAATATTAAAGAAAAAAAAAAAGAAGAAACGAATCGAATGAAAGAATGAGTGATAAAATTACCATCGAACTTATCGAACGATACATTATAAAAAACGACCCTTATGTGGAACGACCTCAATGTTTGCGATGATTTATATAGGTTTTCCTCTTAAATGTATGGAGTAAATGGTGGATAGAAAACTGATGTTAATGTTGTTGTACCTTCTAATGTGTCATGCATTAAGATCCGAACTCGAACAGTTTTTTCTGTACACACATACAGATTACAATACTCGTTCTAATTAGTACATGTGAATGACTTAAATTAAAATACAGGTGCAAGAATTTTTGTTTTAAATCGTTTATTTTGTTTATTAATCTATATTTCCTCTGTTTATGCAGTAATATCGATTTTAATTTCAGGTATCGTTTCATAGACAAAAAGACTATTGGATACACGAAGACTAGTATTCCTCTGTGATTATGTACAATTCAAAGACTCTTGGCAAATGGCGTGTGATTCATCATAGAAAAGATGAAGAGCTTTCTGGAAGGGAGCGGCCAAGCAGAGAAGAACGTTGCTTAGCGTGACATATACTCTGAATAAGGAATATGCCTGTCTGATCTCCTTCTCGAAATGCAATCTCCTTTGCTGATTTGTGCCAAGGGCGATAAAAATCGTCCAGTAGTCGAGGAGTCAAGATTTCTTCGCGAGTTGATTCACTATGCATGTCTTCTTCGAGGATATCTATGCTTATTTTTTTTCTATTACGATTATTACATTTTTGAAAATCTTTTGTATATATGTGAGATCTTGTTCAAAGATCAATATCAAAATGATCATTACAAAACCTTAAAACTAGACCAATGTCGAGTGCTCAAATTACTTAACTTTGTTTTTCATGCCTTACTTTTACTTTAGGTGCTGTAAAATAGAAACAAATACACCTACGCCACTGTTCCCATAAACAAACAAAGAACATATAACATCATCGAGATAATGCAATTATTCCTTCATTCGTATAGTGAAACATCTGTTACATTATGTTTCATTATGATGCAAAGAATAGGAAACGAATGAATATACCTACGTTTGGTCTAAACTACTGCTGAGTACATTTCATTTGTAATCTTATAAATGTATTAGAACTGAGAGAACGTTTAATAAAAAGGGAGATGTGTCTAAGTGAACTGAAACTCAATTGATAGGAGAATAAAATTAATATTTAGTTTCCAACCAGGTATATTTTCATATTTACTTCGAAAAGCAAAGATCAAAGAAACTTTAACAGACATCTATAATAAATAACAAGAGATGTGTGTTCAATGTATCATTTTGGTTTATTGCCTTTATACCTAATATTAAGTAAAATTTCTTTAACTTCTACATTCAGGAAGAGAATCAGAAATTTATCGGACTGATTATTCCTTCTCGTTTACTTTTCTATAGAAAATTATCATCCTTTCACATCCTGTACAGAAAAACTAGATAATTTCTAAAAGAACACTATGGATTACCCTCGCTTCACCCAATCAGTTGACACATTTAACACGTACCACGCAAGATTTTTGAAACATGTTTGACAAATGAAATTGTAGAGGTAACCCACACCATATACTACTAATTACTTACAAACCATGCTTAATTGAGCAATATCCTTATGTCAAGGTCACGCGTAATGTCCTCCACTTGTCTCAGTTTCAGCGTCCGGAGTTACAGGAACAAAACGTGGAACGTGCGCGCATTCCGGTAAACCTCTCCGCTGCTGCTACCAGGATGTCCTCTGCCAGTGTCTGTAGAAGAGACGTCCCGTCGTCGACCTTGAAACTTCAGGTCGGAGAACCGAGAGAGGTTTCGCCTTGGGTAATTGGTGCCGCGGACTCGAAAACTAGGCCTGCGCCTGTGGTGACGTCGTTGTCGGTACGTTGCGATGTATACGGTGAACGAACCAAGAAGAGAGGCGAGGAGACGAGAGTGGAGGAGCGGCGAGAAGCAATAAGACAGAGTGAGCACATGTGAGAAGGAAGAAAGATATGCATAATATACAGAGAGTGGGAAAGAGAAAGAAAGACAGAGACGCGTTCGCGGTAACGAAACAAATAGGCCGGCGACTTTCACCGCGTATCCAAGAACGGCTACACGACACACAGGTAACAACCGACCGCTCTTGGCCCAAACCACTCGAGTATGAGGTGTACCCTCGCTCACCGTTCTCAACGTCCTCGAAGTGGGGGGAATCCTGCTCGAAGCCACAGACACGAGGCATACCCTGAGAGCCAGCGAACGGACCTCGATTCTTTTTCTTTCGTCCGTGTGTCGCACGTGTTGTCTCTGTTCTCCGTGGTGACCGGCTACACTGCCTGGTGGCATATCCACGACCAGGAGTATTGTTTTGCTGCTCTCCTCTCTTTTTTCTCCTCTCGTGGCAAATTTTAGCGCTCATCTCAACGTTAACGCGTGTAGCACATTTTCCTTTTAGCCGATCCTCTTCGACACGTATACGTAAATCCTATCGCAGAGGCAGGAGGATATTTCGCGCGGAACTGAAACATGCATTCCCGCGGTCGATTCTGAACTGAACGCATCGAGTGGTGGTAATTTTGTGCGAGAAGCGGAACCAAGTGGTGATAAACGAACTGTGTAAAGAAATGCACGGGAGTGTGTTACCGATCCGCTGACAATGGCACGACGACGACCACCGAGACCAGATTTGCCGTGGATCTATTTGTTTGCTTGGCTGCTTTGGATCGTCTTGCCTATTGGAACCGGTACGCCGTGGACTCTTACTTTATGATGTTAGACGGTACACGCGCGCGATTCCGTTATCCGCTCGAACGAGCTGCCGAGGAAAGTGTACCGAAAGTGAAAATATGGAGCAACGATGTTCCAACTGGAGAGGTTTCCTTTTGGTATTTTCCACTTGGAAGGTCTAGTGGATCGTTTCTTGGTCTTGAATGTCGGCTCGTTCAGCCCAAAAGTAGGTTTATGTAAATCCGAATGCAGGCATTTTCGTAAAATATCCAGCTGGGAATTTTGACTCGAATGTTGAGATTAATTCTTAATGTCTAGAACTAGTATAAAATGATAATTATACAAGGAAGTACACGAGTAATTTCAAAGATAGCACGTATGAATGAGTTTATCCTTCTGATTGAAATACTTGTAGGATTTAATTATCTTTATACGAATGAGTAATGTTTAAGATGAGCAGAATATACGAATAACATTTTACTAAAAAGTATTGTGTAAGAAGATTAGTTTGCAGATGGATTAATTCTCAATATTTCTCTAGTACTTTTAATATTTGTTTTATGGTTTTAATCATACGAATTTGAATACCACACGATGAAATTAGTTTTAATGCTCGTGTTCATGATAATCGTCACTGTTATCCAGCATATTAATCTCATCATTATACCATCTTCTTCCTTTTAATGATATCTTGCTCTTTCTACCAAGTAATTTTAAGTTTCAAACGTTTACACTGAAGCTGTTTGACGATGAACGTGCAACTTCGTTAGTCGTAAATTAGAAGTTGATAGCCGGATCCGTTTAAATATCCAAGCCGCGATTTATTCCGTATATAACGAGTAATTTATAGGCATAGTTGTCTGAACGATTATCATTTATCTGTTATACGTCTAAGTTAACGGATGGATCGATCGTTCAACGAGCAATCGCAAAAATGATCGAAGCAGTTGAATGCTTTCCAAAAGATTCATGATTCCAAGAAACGATCCATATAATTCACTGTGCTCGAATCGATCTGTCGATTTATCTAATTAAAGATTTTCACTTAATTAATAACTGCGAAAGATTCAGATCTGCGTACTGCGATCTTTGAAATCTCTCGTAACGTCGTTTGTTTTCGACTTCGAAATAATTCTACTTTGTCCATTTCAAATTTAGAAAATGACTTCTTGTCTCTTGCAGGGCTGGTGCACAGTTATGCGGATAAACAGAGGTACGATGGATGGTACAATAATTTGGCTCATGCGGATTGGGGATCGATCGGCAAGTAGTTCAAACAGCATTGTTTTGGCGTTATATCGTCGGCGAGCACACGTGCGTTTAGTTCTGTTACTCTGTTTAAGTCTGTTTCACTTCAAACGCATATCATTTTCTTATAGAACAGACACGGTTTTTCAGTAACGAAGAAATGCAATGATATTAAAACGAAAGTGGGAAAAAGTGAAATTGGAAGAAATCTTTCGTAATTGTAAAAATGATGGAACTCGTTCAAGTTAAAAATGCCAAGCTTGTCTCTGAATTTTTAAAATTTATAGAAAAGTGAAAATTGTTATCGTTTGAACAGAATTGAACGGAGTAGCTGTCTGAAGACGCAAATTGTCGTGGATATTTTTGTTGATATTGTGATGCAGCTCGTATTGCAATGGCGTGCAAGCCAATGGCATGTAGAGTGAAAGGCGAAAAAAGTCGCTATTTTGTTTCAATATAGGCCGGTATAAAATGGGCAGTAAAAACTTTAGCAGCGTGAAAGACGTGATCAGCTTTGCCAACAGAAATGTTATGGTTGTTTAAACGCGAAAATTGTTGCCTCTAGATTATTGTGCTAACACCTAATCTATTTAACATGAATCGTAATGCTAATAATAATTCAGAAATAAACAGCAATTCGTGCAATTCAGATTTAATACTTTATTTCCTTTTTATTGTGACAATTAAGTCCCTTGCTATTATTAGTAATTAAAATTCTTTACTGGAACAATAAATCTTATTTTTATTGTGTCAGTGCTTGCAAATGTACATTTATCTTAAATTAAATTAGGCAAGCAACGTTTATCAACATTAGAAATTTTTCAAATAATTTTTGGCGATAGTATTTTATTTTCTTGGCCAATAAGAAGTAAAGTGTATAACAAAAGGCTGTCATAAAACCTCATGAGATCATCTCTTTTTATTTATCTAGAAAAAGACATCAAGTCACAAATTAAATTCGGTAAAAAGATCTGTTCTGTTCTTGTCCTTTTTACCAAACATTTTATACTGAATGATTCTCAATTCCGAATATACATTAGTTCTTAGGCTAATTATCTACCCTTCTAACAATTTAAATGGCATCGTATGTCATCAGGTTCTCTGTCTATGTATTTAACTGTCTACTTTCTGACAGGATGCTAATAAGTCGTTCAAACATTTCATCTGGTTTTATTTTTTGTACCAATAGAATCATAGAAACACAACAGAACAGTTAAACTCTTGTTTCAATTTTATTATACGACTCTTTCACAAGGGTAAGATATAAAACGAACGCTCATTTTATTCTTGCAGACTTGTTAAATAATTCTAAATAATAGGCCAAGTAGCATAGCTTCCTAACGAAAGTATTCATTGATGGCGCTTCATAATGGATAAAAAGAATTGTATATAATTTAAAAATTTAACAAAATTTGTTTACGAAACATAATTATTAAGCCATGAGAATCTTAACACGGTTCGTACATCCGTAGACAGCAGGCTGATACGAAAGATGCCAGCAGCGTATTCAGATGGAGTTTACATGCTGGCTGGCCAGGATAGACCATCTCCAAGGAAGCTCAGTCAGCTTTTCATGCAGGGAGACGATGGTCTACCATCCGTCAAAAATAGAACAGCATTATTCGCTTTCTTCGGTAAAGAATCAATCATATTAAACTATTTTAAAATCGTTAAAACTAACCATTATTAAATCGTGATACACGAACAGCACGTACATGATCAATATTTGTAAGCTACGAGGAAAATTAATTTATGTTAAGAAGAAACTGACTCAACATCCGTTTGCATTTCAACCAGTAACTCCTTCGACCACTCTTAAAGGTGTATTGTCATTCGCTCAGCAAAAGGATTTCCAACTTATGATACGCATACTACCGATAATCGAATATCACCAAGTGATACGTAAACCGAATTTGATAGTGAATTATACGAAATAATAAATTATCAAATTACCAAATCCAACTTCGACTGATGATATGTAAGAAAAAGATGTTATGAATCAGATAGGATAGCATGTAGAATTACGAAGCAAGGGAATTACCATTGCTGACAGTGCAGGCATTCGAATATCTGTATCACGTTGTTGCGCAAACGTTAAGGTGACCGGGTGTCAGAATAGAAATGAGAGGCACGAGGAACAGGGAACTCTTCGATTCAATTTTTAAGCTAAAATATTTTGTACAATGGATTATGATTCTCGTTGCTATAAATAATTTGGAAATCGAATTGGATAATTATTAAAAATAAAGCAAATGTAATATATTACATAGAAACTTGATCGGTATTAACTGTAACTCTAAAAATATCCATGAAGAGTATAGAATGTCAATGTTTCTTTCGATGTTCGTTAAATTTTATTGGCAAAGTATTTTTTTCTTAACATAATCTCTAATGATAGTATCTGCTAGTCTATTAATATGTCCAGATTAGTAATGAGTAGACGGATATGATTCTAACATTGGAGCACGACGGTTGCGACAAGGGTCCGTAAAGTCCAGAGTCAGATTACCTCTTTCTTTTGGTACGAAATGGGATAATTCTTGCACTAAAATCCATCTGACATATCTGCATAAGCTTGATAAATATTTAAAACCTTAATTGACATTTAGAAGTTTAATTTTAACAAAGCTACTTAAAAGTAACATCTTGATACATTGCAAATGGATGTCGAGGCATCTCGCAGTTCCTGTATGTTAGACAGGAATAGTTATAAAATATCTGGTTATTGGATACGATTAGTAACAAGATGTCCAGTCTGCGATGTAATATACATATTACGCTTTGAGATATTCAAATTTGATGCATCAACTACTAAATCAGAATGTAGAAACCCAGAGAATTGGGCGAGGAAAGCGCGACCGATTCTCGAAAGAGGCGGAAAGTAAAAACTGGAACAGTCCCCTGAATTCCTTTCGCGCCGATTCGCGGCAGTGCCGTCGACGGAAGCGACCAAAGAAAAAGTGATCCTTCGAGAACCGGTCGCGCGTTGAAATCGCTTCCTTGAGAGGGGAACCTCGATTCCTCTTCATCGGGCGCGGACGGAACCATTTCAGGGCAACTGGTCACGTCGGAGATAATCATGGCCAGCGAAAGTGGCTGTCCCATAGAGTACCATCGTATCGACGTGGACAAATGCGATCCGGTTTTCGACAAGGAGTGCCAAGGTAACAAGTACATTCCCTTCCGTCGGGCGGATTACGATCGACAAACTGGACGCAGCCCTAATAGCCCTCGTGAACAGGTAATTTCTTGCTTTCCTCCATAATTTATCCTCTCGATTTAATCGACGATAGGGTACTATTCGTTCCTATAGAATAGTTTGGAGGTTTTCCCTTTTTCCTCTTATTTTTCTTTCTCTTTCTTTTACAATTTTGACCAGGAATTTTAATTTTCAATTCGGCTTTGACTTTTTTCCCATATAATTCATGTTCCATCACACTTTTAAAATTTAGTTTCCTATTATATATCATAACCCAGTGAAAGTTTAAAGCAATTGTTTATCAATGTAATTGAAGATTGATTATTACGGCAGTTGTATTCAATTACGGTTGAGAGGATGCTAAATTTTAAATGAATCCGAATTAACAATGGAATAAAATGTTGAATGGATTAATGTCTAATGGAATCCATTGTTTATAGCTTGAATGGTGCCTGGGATGATTGAAAATATCATTTCTGGTCGTTGCGTTTTTCGACTGCGATATCTTTCAGATATGAAACTTGCAGAATCGAATTTCGTACTGCATGTAACGAAAAAAACATCTTCTTTAATACAGAAGATCGTTAAAATATTGGGAAATAGGTGGTGAAAAGTAGCTCTGAATACGTGAGGTTGCAGATAAACAAAGTGACGAGCTGGATCGACGGTAGCTTCATTTATTCGAGCAGCGAGGCATGGGCAAACACCATGAGGTCCTTCAAGAACGGTAGCCTCCTTATGGAACCCACCAGGAAGTTCCCCGTGAGGAACACGATGCGTGCTCCACTTTTCAATCATGCTGTCCCACATGTTATGAGAATGCTCAGCCCGGAACGTCTTTTTCGTAAGTTCGTTTCCTTCTATCTTCGTACGTGACGATTTGCATAGTTTTTACATGATAAAAATTTACTTAGTTCTCGGAGATCCACGAACGAATCAACATCCTCCGTTACTGGCTCTTGGAATATTGTTTTATCGGTGGCACAATGTAATTGCTGCCCGAATACAATTAGAGAATCCGGATATGTCTGATGAAGATATATTTCAGAGAGCAAGACACGTTGTTATAGGGACGCTTCAGGTAAACAATTTGTATATTATTTTAAATAATTATTGGATAGTCTTTCATGTATATATCGTAATTTCACTTAATCAGTTTACTTACTCAAAAATTCGCCAATTATAAAGGAGTAAGGGTATTGAAGTATTGTATTTAATACGATAAGATGTTCTGTAAATTCTAATGTTAGATTCATTAAGTAAAGAAATATAATTTTACATACTATACATTGTATATTAAATTATTTGAAAGTAACGAGTCCTTGAATAATGTACATTAATCGACGCTATTTATCATAATTATAACAAAATATAGACGTAATGTATCCTTTTCACACACTCCGTAAATTGTCATCCCGGTACCGTCATTGTGAGTAATGCTATATCATTCTCGTGTAATTGTATACCGTTGCTGTAACCCGATATACTAATTTTATACTACTTCAAGAATTAATACATACTCATGAACCGTAATCCTTTATGAAATATTTGAGTATCGTTTTTATATTGTACAAATATATTCTACACTTTATATCAAATATTCTTTCTAATTTTCATTTTTCAATTTACAGAATATCATTTTATATGAGTACCTTCCTATAGTTTTGAATGAGGATACGCCGCCTTACGCAGGATACAAGCCAGATCTGCACCCTGGAATCAGTCATATATTTCAAAGCGCAGCTTTCCGGTTTGGACATACCTTGATACCGCCAGGATTGTACCGCCGAGATGAAAAATGCGACTATAGGAGAACTAATACCGATCAACCTGCGATCAGACTTTGTTCCACCTGGTGGGATTCCAACGTAAGTGATACTAAACTTTGGAAATATTTAGATGACTCAAGAGGAGCAATCTCATTTAAATACAATTATATTTGTATACTCTGTTTACAGGAGATTTTAACTAATAGTACAATTGAAGAACTCCTCATGGGTATGACTTCGCAAATAGCAGAAAAAGAGGATAATCTCCTTAGCACTGATATTAGAAATAATTTATTTGGACCTATGGAATTTTCGAGAAGAGATTTAGGTGCCTTAAATATCATGCGAGGCAGAGATAATGGACTTCCAGATTATAATACGGCTAGAACGCATTTCAAGCTATCTCGCAAAAAAACTTGGAACGAGATCAATTCTGAACTGTTCAATAAAAATCCTTCGTTACTGCGTACGTTAGTCGAGATTCATTCGAATAATTTAAACAACGTGGATGTTTATGTTGGCGGAATGTTGGAATCTAGTGCTGGTCCAGGAGAACTCTTCTCTGTGGTGATTAAAGAACAATTTCTTCGTTTAAGAGATTCTGATAGATTCTGGTTCGAAAATGAGGAAAATGGGTAAGTAATAGATTAAATACACAACGGGAAGATAATATTTATGATTTAAACGTATCCTACAGAATTTTCACGAAAAGCGAGATAGAAGATATTCGTCGCGTTACTTTATGGGATGTCATAGTAAACGCGACAGGAATACCGGCGAATGCAGTCCAAAGAAATGTATTTACTTGGGAAGAAGGAGACCCTTGTCCACAACCTTACCAATTAAATTCAACAATGTTAGAACCATGTGTCCCGTTGCAACGTTACGATTACTTTGAGGTGATTACTATTTCTTATATTTTTCTGGTACATTATCCAACATTACCTAACACAACACTACCTACCTGTATCGTTTACTTCACGTTCTCCTCTCATTGCCCTATATGGAATAGACCAAAAACTATATATGTCCATTCCGTTACAGGGAAGCGAACTGGTGTACATATACGCTTGCGTGTTTCTTGGTTTTGTGCCAATTCTTTGCGCTGGAGCCGGTTACGGCTTGGTTAAGCTTCAGAATCGCCGCCGAAGACGGTTGAAAATTCTGCAAGAAGCAATTCAAAAAAGGAACGATGGTAAAATCTGCGTGGACAAGATGATCGTGCGCGAGTGGCTGCACGCGAACCATCGTCGTCTGGTCAAGGTAAAATTCGGACCGGAAGCGGCTCTGCACATCGTCGACCGTAAAGGAGAGAAACTGCGCACGTTCGATTTCTGTGACGTGAACACAGTCACGATAGAAGAGTCACAGGTGAATGTAGCAAGCTTGTTTCACTTTTGTATTTCCGCAAAATTCGACAGTGGATCTAATCAAGGAATCTTGAACGAAGCCTTATGGTTATGTAACATGCAGGGATTTACGAAGGAAAATATTAATGCGTGAAAATCCTTAAAGACTGGTTCCTTGTTAGTTCACCGAATTCAACGGACCAGTCCGATATACGAAACCCCTGTAATTCCACGCTTTCGTGAACGTTAAAAATGTTGCTTGCTTCATAGGATGAAGTTACACAGGTTATTGTCAAAGTAAATGAGGAAATGGTTACCAGTATTTTTCATAAGTGAGAATGATATAAAAGTAATCTTGTTCAAAATTTTGTAAGGAAGATAATTAGGTAATATTGTTCCTAATTTAATAGTGTCTTAATCTCAGCACTCTTCGCATGATTTAGAACCAAGTGGAATTATTTCACTGGATAGAAAAAGATAGTAATCAAAATGTTCCTGATACTTTATATTCTAAATAATATTTATTTAGGAAGACGAGAATGGCCACCGTAAGGCGTTGGTTCTGTTACGGATACCGCGGGACTACGACCTTGTCCTTGAACTGGATTCGCTGGCCTCGCGTAGAAAGTTCATTGCGAAACTGGAGGCATTTCTGGCGTCCCATAAGAAGCACTTCACGCTGTCCCAAGTGAGCCGGGATATTATGCTTGCAAAAGCGGAAACGAAGGAACGCCGTCAGAAGAAACTCGAACAGGTGTTTTTGCGTTCTTCGTTCGAATCAACTTCTATCTAACCTTTTAAGGGTTTCAACATGCCATTTCCTGCTTTGTGGCTATGTAACACAAGTTTTTCCCTTTCTGTCAGTTCTTCAGGGAAGCTTACGCTTTGACGTTCGGTTTACGACCTGGTGAAAGGCGACGACGATCCGAAGATAGCGACAGCGGTGAAGTCGTTACCGTGATGAGGACGTCGCTTTCTAAAAGCGAGTTTGCGAGCGCCCTCGGAATGCGTGCTGACGCGGTATTCGTGAAAAAAATGTTTAATATTGTCGATAAAGATAGAGACGGCCGTATTTCATTTCAGGTAAAAGATATTAAATTTTGGAAATGCTTCTTGAATTCGTAGATAAAAATTAATTAAGAACAAGAAAGAAATTAGTAAGAAAATGAACACAAAATTGATAATATCAAGATAACGATATAATTACAAGTATTTAATTTCTTGTCGAAAAGTTGGAAAATTTCCCTATTCGTGTATCTATATTGTAGGAATTTTTGGATACAGTTTTGCTATTCTCACGTGGAAAAACTGAGGATAAATTGAGAATCATTTTCGATATGTGTGATAAAGATAGCAACGGAGTTATCGACAAGGAAGAATTATCAGAAATGCTTAGATCTTTGGTAGAAATTGCACGTACAACCAGTCTTTCAGATGATCATGTCACAGAGTTAATCGACGGAATGTTCCAAGTAAACTTTTAGTTATAAAATAACATTGTTAAGTACAGTATCAAAAGACTGAATTGAACTTAAATCGACTGTTCCAGGACGCTGGACTCGAGAGAAAGGATTATCTCACGTACAACGATTTTAAGCTAATGATGAAAGAATACAAAGGTGACTTCGTAGCGATCGGTCTCGATTGCAAAGGCGCGAAGCAGAATTTCCTCGACACATCAACAAACGTGGCTCGCATGACAGGTTTCCATATAGATCAGCTTCCACCCGAAGACTCAAAGAGTTGGGCTCAAAAACAATGGAATGCAGTTTCGACATTCCTCGAGGAAAACCGACAAAATATTTTCTATTTATTTGTTTTCTATGTTACAACCATTGCACTGTTCGTTGAAAGATTTATATGTAAGTTTTCTTGATCACTTTTCCTTTCATTGTAGAAGATTGTGAAAGACGGATGATTAAGAATTAATTTAAACTTCAGATTACTCGTTCATGGCAGAACATACGGATCTGAGGCATATTATGGGAGTTGGAATTGCCATAACTAGAGGATCTGCAGCAGCCTTGTCCTTTTGCTATAGTTTACTCCTTTTGACTATGTCCCGTAATCTTTTGACTAAACTCAAAGAATTTTCCATTCAACAATATATTCCTTTGGATTCACATATACAATTTCATAAAATTGCTGCATGTACTGCACTATTTTTCTCTGTTTTACATACGGTGGGACATATGGTCAATTTTTATCATGTTTCAACTCAGCCATTAGCTCATCTTCGATGTTTAACCAGTGAACTTAGTTTTCCAAGCGATGCTAGATTAACTATTTCGTTTTGGCTGTTTAAAACTGTAACAGGCGAGTAGTTGACACTAATTACATCTACTATAAATTATTTAATAGTTGTTTAAGTGTTTTAACACTAAATTATTGTTTGTTTAAAACAGGTTTGACTGGAATATTATTATTCATCGTAATGACAGTAATTTTTGTCTTTGCTCATCCAACCATTCGCCAAAAAGCATATAAATTTTTCTGGTCCACACACAGTTTGTACGTAGTATTATACGCACTATGTTTAATACATGGTTTAGCCCGTTTGACTGGTTCTCCACGATTTTGGATTTTCTTTGTTGGTCCTGCAATTATTTATTCTCTGGATAAAGTAAATTAAACAATTATCTTAATTCTCCTATTCGTAAATCTTATTTAATTTTTTTTTTATAAGCAAATATGTTATTACTACTATTTTTCAGGTAGTTAGCCTTCGTACTAAATATATGGCATTGGATATTATCGAAACAGAATTGTTGCCTTCAGATGTGATTAAAATTAAATTCTACAGGCCACCAAATTTGAAATATTTATCCGGACAGTGGGTTCGTCTTTCTTGCACTGCGTTTAGATCGAACGAATTCCATTCATTTACCCTTACATCCGCACCGCATGAGAATTTCCTGTCATGTCATATTAAAGCGCAGGGACCATGGACGTGGAAACTGCGCAATTACTTCGATCCCTGTAATTATAATCCGGAGGATGAACACCCAAAAATAAGAATAGAAGGACCTTTCGGTGGTGGTAATCAAGATTGGTACAAATTCGAGGTCGCTGTTATGGTTGGCGGTGGGATTGGTGTCACTCCCTACGCCTCCATGTTGAATGACCTTGTATTTGGAACTTCTACGAATAGATACTCTGGGGTTGCTTGTAAGAAGGTAATTATAATTGAATTTTACTAAAATCTACTGGATCTAAAAAATCAAAATTTCGTCTCCTTTTCCCTCGTTAAATTTAGGTTTATTTTTTGTGGATTTGTCCGTCACATAAACACTTTGAATGGTTCATCGACGTCCTCAGGGATGTTGAAAGGAAAGATGTTACAGACGTATTAGAAATTCACATTTTCATTACACAATTCTTTCACAAGTTCGATTTACGTACAACCATGCTGGTAGGTTGTTGTGTAGTTATAATTTTGAAATTGTTTGTCGTTTAAGAATAAATTGAATTTAACTTTTTTTTTACAGTATATTTGTGAGAATCATTTTCAGAGGCTATCCAAAAAGAGTATATTTACAGGGCTGAAGGCGATAAATCATTTTGGTCGGCCCGATATGACATCATTTCTAAAGTTTGTTCAGAAGAAACATAGTTATGTAGGTTTCATAGTTATTTTCATTTAATTTTCATTAAAATTAAATCATCAAGAAATTGAAATTTGCACATTAAAATTAAAGTTGTGATAATATTATCAATTTAAATGTATCACAGGTTAGTAAAATAGGAGTATTTAGTTGCGGACCACGTCCTCTAACGAAAAGTGTAATGTCATCCTGTGATGAGGTGAACAAAGGTCGTCGTCTACCGTATTTCATTCACCACTTCGAAAATTTCGGCTAGTCTGATTGATATCATTTCGAAAGAGGAGTAGAAGAAGAAGAAGAAGAACGATAGACTCTATCATGAATCTCTTACAATTCTATCGAGTGTACATATTTGTGCGCGTACGCGCATGTTTATTTATATCAAGTATTATATTTCTTATTTATGATTACAAGAAACGAAAGAATATTTTTTCTTTAATTATATTTCATCAGAAAACATCATTAATGTCGACCCTTTTGTGTGATATGACATTGATAAGCAGAGCTGATCATCCTGAGATTCCTAGAATATCTCCCTCAAATTCAGATATTTTTTATACAATATAACTTATTTAATTCCTTAAAATTTATTAGGAAAATTACAAACAAATATTTTTTTATAAATCACTATTTATTCCCTTTTATCTCCATAGGAGTTCTAGGGCGAAACTTACAGTTTTAAGTAAACTAAAACTTCTGAAATATCAATGAATTTACTAATCATAGAATAATGGTTATAAATAATAATTATAAGTGAGTCAACCGTTGATAGTTCCACGTGAAGATGATGGAAATGGATAAGACCAATTATGCTTCATCGAATCTTCATTGGACTCATGATGAAATTCCGAAGACTCATGCAACGTGTAGCCTCGATTTATCACACCCTGTGTATCTTCCTTGATGTCGAGTCTATTTTGCAGTTTCGACGACAGTTGACTGAAACAATATTTAATAGATATTGAAACGTCTTGCTTAATTTAACATAAAATATAATTGATCAAACTAGAGCGAAACCTTATTATGCGATCACCAAATGAATCCTCGATTTTAGGTAACCTCCGCCTGATGTTCCTTGTGTCGAAACTCTCTTCTATGATAACATGCCTGTCGTATGGTGTATCATAATCAACTTCTAATATGGTGGAAAATTGATGAGGAAAAATCATGTCTATTGCCGTTATTACAATCCCGGCAAACAGGCATCCGATACCTAGAAGAATTCATTTCCTGGAAAACCAATATCCTTTTCCAACAAACTCTATAATATATTTAAAATAAGGACTCTAACCAGATAACAAAACCAGCCAGTAATTCCATCCTAAATTGAAAGCAAGAATAGAACCGTCTATGTGTGCTATCAGAGGTTCACAAGGTAAAAGTCCCCAGTAAATTAAATTCGTCAGTAACATACAAAACCCAGTGCAAATCATACCATAAGCCCCATAACGTGGCACTACTATTAATAATAAATTCATCATGGCCCAGGAGGCAAATGACGTCCTAAAAGAAGATAGTTAGTCAGCGTAAATAAAAAGAAAGATATGTCAGGGCAGCGAATGAATTAAGAGTGACTCAATGTCGATGGTATTCTTGAAACATACCAGAGTGTAAGTGACGCATAGTAACCAGCTTGTCGATACTTGCTTCCCCAGGAGAAGCCCTCTTGGTGAAGACTAAAGTACTCAGCTAGAGAAACAATAGGAAACGGTGCACCCTGGTTGAGAGCTTGCTTAAAAGCGCTCGTCATCTCTCGTGTACTTCTCCACCAGAATCTTTCATTATACTCCACGTCGTCCATTAAGTTTTCACTGCTTGGTAGCACTTCATATGGGGATCAATTAAAATAATCAAGGGAAGTACCAGTTTAATTAAAAAATAAGCTACTTTTGCTTCAAATCACTTTTTCATGCTATTACTCTATTCCTGCACTTCATTTATTTTGTTTTATGCTTCTACTTGAATCCATTTTAGAATAAGTGGGACAGAATATTTGGAATACCTTTTATAGACACGAAGGTGACCTTGAGCAATCAATTCGTTTTGGACGAACAGTGGGTGACTACAAACTAGCAAGGAATTTATTATAACAACTCACGTCTGTACGTGATGTTTATATGCATCAGACCGATGTATCCACCAATTTCAGCGGCGGTTTTCTGCCTTGAAAATGCACTGTATGTACTAACGATGGTTGCGGAACTTGTGTGCCAGGACGACCCATACTGAGCAACTGCAAGCGTGAAAAAGGAAGTCATACTAGAAACAGTTCGACAGGGAAAAGTCGGTTAATTGCTAGCAAAGTGAACCAAATAAACCTTGAATCGATGCTCCAACAAAAAGGCTCAAGGTCACCGTGAGAAACGTGCTGAAACGCTAGAGATCACGATAAATTAGTAACTACATTGATGACCGACATTCAAAAAATCTCAACAGCAGAACGAAATACAAGAAAATACTGACCTCCTTTCGTATCCCAGGAAATATGACTAGGAACGCGGTGAAGATGGTGCCGAAAATTACGAATACGATCACTAAAGGAACATCTCCTGTGACAGGTGTGCGATTACTATAACTATACAACGTTGGTCCTCCGTCGATACGGAACGCATCGAACCATCCTTTCATTCTCTCGATGCAGTCTTCGACTACTCGGCCCTGAGAGAACCGGCCAGTTCCGGTTCTCCTTGTAAACCACTTGGCATCAGTGTCTCTCCCTGGACAAACATCAGCCACAAACGTAACAGAAAGCGATCCAAATTGAATCGAAGTTTTATCTAAGCCACAGGATCGACAAAATTGCAATCAAAATTTTACGAGATGTACCTCAGATCGTCACGCTTGGCTACCAGCGTCCAAGGACAATTATTGTGAAACCTAGGTGCACGGATTAGACACCTGCGCCGCCAACATCGAAGGCTCGAAGGCAGCACCAACACTAAGGCCCCCAGTAGGTTAACGGGTCTTCGAAAGTGATCTCCAGGCATGGAGTAGAGGGGACGCGAGTCTTAAGAGGGGGACATGAAAGAGAAAGAGGGACAAGTGGGGCTAACTCTCGAAGGAACCAGCTATCCGTCCAAGTACAGAGGGTGAAGAGGGACAAAAGGTGTTTCCGATCAGCTGAGCCAGGAAAACGTGGCCCCGCGCGAGCTGCGTGTCTGGCGCGTTTTATTTCGGCGGATCGGCGATCGATGATCCCGGATGACGACATGAGACGTGACACGTGAGCGTGGATCGCGCGGCATGCCCGATGGCATGCGGGCGACTTCAACGCCTGCACAGACGATGAGGCCAATTCGTTCCTGGGCATTTTTGGGTGTTCCATCACATATACCTGAAATAAGTATCAGATAAAACGAGCTGTGTCGGCTAATGTGGATTTATAATTAAGTTCCATGATTTTTTCGTTTACTAATTTAAGGTAAGTTAATTGGTAGATTATGCACCCTTTAAGAGTAAATCTCATGTTCATCGCTCAGTTTATTAGTGGCAATAAATCTCTCGACAATTCTTGTATTTTATGCGTATTCTGTTTAGTATGCTTATGACTGTCTTAATAAGAAAATCGCATGTAAAATATTTACATATACGATTTTTCTAGCAAAAAGTTAGGCCAATAATTCGATACAGCGAATTCGAAGATCGTTTTATCCGAAGGAAAAGTATCAAACACGTAATTGAGTTTCAGAAGTAGCGGAGGATGGTAATGGTGTTACTGGATTGAGACTGCGATGATCCAGCCAAGCTATAACAGCAAAAGGAAAGCAACATGAATTCGACCTCATCCTGCGCATCAGTTAAGTAAGTAACATTCACGGTTCAATTAATTCAAGGCACGCTAATTACGTTACAATTATAAAAAAGTGAATAAGATAAACGACGTTATGCTATAAATATGTAACTAGATTTTAGAAGCAATTAAAGCTAAGAGGCGGTATATACACGAAGACGTTACCAGATTTAGCTATTAAAGGAAACATTCTAAGACTACATGCTCGTTATTTCTGAGAGGTCAGTACAGCTTACCTAATTCATCATACTCGTTAAAATCTGCTAACCTTCGTCTCGAATTTCTCCTTATTAATTTATACGTTTTATTTCATATTCATTTCCATGTCCTCGAGTATTGCACCTGTGAAGACAACACAACATGGCATGTCGAACGAAGTTTATGACCAGTTAATATTCCTAATCGATCCGCAGAAACTCGTCGGTACCGATAAACTCTACTACCGAACTCTCACCTGACTCACATCCTCCGCTTCACAATAAAAGCAACCCACGAATGCTGGTCAACGGAGTTACTGGAACGTAAAATCCCGGATACGAGCTACCGTTTTTCATTCATACGGCCGCGGCCAGGTGTCCACACGGTGCCGGCACGAGGTAAGCATCACGCACGACGGTTGCAGAGCCGCGGACGGTGCCAAGAGGTGGAACGCGTATCCGTGTCCGGTACCGGAAGCAGCCTCGTACACCGCAGTCCCGTCACGACGTGCACGATAGCGAGGTATGCGTCCAGGCTGGTCCATAGTACCGGCAATAACTCGGCTGCTATTTCAGGAGGTCTAATTCGAGCCGGGTGACGGTAAGCTTTTAACGGCAGCGCTGCTAGCATCATCCACCGTCGCCAGTGCCACCACCACCACCACCACCACCACCACCTATAGCACCACCACCACCACCGCCGCCGACGACGACGATAACCACCGGAACGAAAAGCCTGGTGGCAGAGAGGCTGTTGCTCGTGCAGTCTCCCGTGCGCGTAGGCCCTCAATACACCGACACTGCTCCTCTGACCCTTCAAGGTAAACCATATATCTTTTACCTTTTTGCTAAATCAAACGCTTTTTTATTTCCATCGATACACTTGAAATCGCCAAGCTTTCCTCCCGTTGCGCATTTGAGAAAGAGGTATTAAGAATAGTCGCATCGTAAAAGAGATCGTAAGAAGAAGAAGAGGAAGAAGACGTCGATCGATTTCGACAGAGAATTTGCGGCTGAAAATAGAGCAAAAGTTTTAACGCGGAAGAAGGTCCGCCAAATGAGATTCGTCATTACATTGCTATCGATTCCCTTGTGCATGCGCGATAATTGACGCGCGTTAGATGTACACCCCGGTGACTCCTCGATTCATCGTTCGCGCGTACGTCGCCAAAATCGGCCAGCTTTCGAGCAACAGTCTGCTCGTTTGGCAAGCGTCCACGGCAAACGGACCGTACGGCCGATCGCCTCGAATTTGATCGCTTGTATCACACGGTGGGAGCAGAAGGTCGTAAGACATAAGTGTATATCGGCAGGGAAAAAGATAGCTAAAATCTCAACGAAGGCTAAGGAAGGTGCTTCTTCGTGAGGGTATCAAGAGCCGTCTACTACGGTGAAACTTCGAACTATTTATAAAGCACGGCCTCGTGGTAAGACGCTCTTGCCTATCATGGTCGTCCCGCGTGCAAAGCAAACTGACCGGAACTTTCGCCCGCTTTCTCACCCTCGATCCCGCGACGTCTTTGCATGAGAAGATGATGTTCATTTTCTGCGTTAAAGGATTCTTGCTGAGTAACGTCTTGGTGGAGTCGTTGACACGACTTTTTCTGAGCTTCTAGTGTTAGCAATGTATGAATGTATGTACGTGCTGGAATGTTGAAAGCTGGACGCAACAAGTAGAAGGACGTATGCGGATTTTTCTTTGACTTAGCTGCTTCTCCTCGCTTGCAAATATAGGTACTTTTAGGAGAAAATAATGAAAGTTGTGAAATAGGTATTTAGTAAATTCTATAGTATGTATTCTTTTGCAGTTTATTTAATATTCTAGTGTTCTTTATATTCCTTCCCATATACTCTTATAGCCAGTGATAATTGGAATTTGGAATCTTCTTAGTATTTGCAAAATTAGCTTTTTGTATTTGGGTATCATCCAACAATTCATTATACTTAATGGATATTTCTTAAAACGTCGAAACAGGAAATTTGGAATTTCTGAAACTTGTCCAAAACTTTAATTTTCCCTTTTTATGTTCCCTTCATAGCTTTCATCTATATTTAATCTGTTGATACTGTTGATAAATAGGAATTTGTTACAGAAATGCACAAAACGCAAAAGTTTATTCATTCTTCAAATAGCCTTTGTAACCACGTCTTGTAAACGTTTTCTGGTCTTTCACTAACCCTTTGTTGCTATTCTAGGCCAAAATGTCTTTGAGCGATTAGTGTAATGTTGGATTTCTATTTTTTGCGTTGATCTCGCATGAGAGAAATGAATAAGCAACAGGGTTGCGCAATGAACGCGGAAATATTTATTATGGTCTGCGATGCAACGTTGAAGATATTTGTTTAGAGCCAGTTCCAAAAGATTCGCAATCAACGCTGATACAAAGATAAACGAAAAGTTTATTCATGAATATTCTAGTGTACATATATATTTCGTGAGGTTTAATATACCTACTTCCTCGTTGTTATCATTTTTATCTCAACTTATATTTGTTACATTGATTTGCACTTGTAAGTTTCTATTTCGTTATATCTATATCTGTTCATATTTTCTTCTATTTATAATTTCTTCTATTTATAATTTATAATTTTGCGTAATTTTAAGAGATACTGTCTGGTATATAATAATAAGTCCAGAAATCGTATTTTTGTCTTCACGTCTCTTCTGCTACATCTTGCTTTCTACGTTGTTCTCTGCTTATACTAAAGTCAGACCAAGCTACTTAATAGATGACAGAAATTCGAATACATTTGAGCTATAATTAATGGCTACCTCGATTAAATATTTGTTATTTTTATAGCTTCTGTATATTTTCTGATGTACATGTGTACGTCGAAGAAAAAACCGAGTTTTATTCGTGAAAATAATTCATCGCCATAAATTTCCATCATCTGATCATTCTATTTTTAACACCTCGTGCGTCCCAATTTATTTATACCTGCAATATTTATTTTTCTTGAATATCTAACCGGAGTATCCTCAAAAGTTACATCAAACTTCAACTGCCTACTTAGGCACTATTACCTATTCGTGAGCAGTAGAACTATCAACTTAAACTGTGCAGTTGAATATGCCGTGTATGAATGATAATACTTGAAGTATTACGAAAATAAATAGGTACATCAAATCGTATCTTGTCAAAAGCAGTTGTACATTTTAGATACCTGCAAAAATGAAATATCTGTAATCAATTCTCTTGAGTCGTATAATAGCATCATATATCGAAGTATCTCTAAACTTTTATCGTTACCTGCAAATACGTGGCATGTATGAAAATGTCTTTCTCATTTTCATACTGATTTAGTCTGAAGATAAATCTTGATAGTCTGAAGATAAATTGGCGAAGCAAGTTTTCACACAAACATCAAGAGCCAGCCTGTCAATCGATTAGCAACAAAAAGATCGAAATTATCGCTCCGAAAACTGCGCCTGCGCGTTGAAATACAATTTGGTTTGGTTAAATCTAATTGAATCTGCGTCTACAGACGCGCATTGTCATTTCCGATACCAATCGACGCTAAATTATCATCTAAACATAGTTCATTCATTACCAAACTATTCCGAGCGTCAGCAAACAAGACAGATCGTCCCAGAAACAATCGAGACGGTCAAAATAATTTACGACCCGCCGTTCAGAGTATCGATATATCGTATCGAGAGCGCGGCCCGCGTAGCGCGCATAGATTCGCAGCGTAGACTTCCTAATTTCCGTATGTGCGAAAACGGGTCAAAGTTATTTTCGCGCGAGGCCTGCCGTGTCCGAAACAGCCGCCAACGCTTCTCTACCATCGAGAAATGCACCAGGCTAGACCTAGAGTCGGTCATTTAACGTTCTGGACTCGGACGCGATCGCATGGCGACTGTTTCGCGGAAACGTCGCTGCTTGAAAACGCACCGGTTTCCCGCGTGAACGGACACGCTCGTCGGATGGAAGTGGCTCAATGTCGCGGTTAAATACGAGCTAAGGGGCGAAAAGCGTGGTGCTCTTGGTCTTTTAACGTGGAAAAGATTGAACGGGAAAGAGGTAATGTCGAAATTAGAAAATTCGCTCGGATAAAAATAGGTTAGTATCGCGACTCAATAGAGATCGAGAGAGGAAGTGTGGCGTGTTCTTTTCTTAACGTCGGTAATGTTAAAAACGTAACGACGAAATTAGAAACGGTGTTTAGACAAAAATCGAAGAGATTTGAAACATAATTCTGAAGACGAAATGAAAGTCGTCGGAGCATCCGTTGAACGCGAATTATAATAATTTGTAGTCATTAGTGTATAGAAACTGAAAGTACCAAAATCCATCAAAGATTCTGAAGTTTGAAAGATCCTAAAACAATGAGAAATAAAAACTGAAATAAAAGACAAATTTTTATAATTTGAGTTTCTTTGTATAATTCTATAATTCGAATGTTTGATTCTCAATAGACCGGAAAGATGGGATAGAAAAAGTACGGAGTCTCGCTGCCAGTTTACATTCGTTTGTTATTTCTTCCATTTATTTTTACACGCTTATAATACCTTACAATATCGACAGTTTGCTAAAGAATGATGTTTGCTTTCGGTTCCAGGCGGCCAGTCGAAACTCCAGAGGATCAAAATGTCGGAGGCGGAAGGTGAGGTCTTCTTTACGAGCTGGCGTCACGATGTTCTTTGAATATCTCTGGCCTAGGATTATTCGAGTATCGTATGATAGATATTGAACGGGCGAGATTGGTCGACGGGAACTGAGGGAAAAATGTACGATGATCGTGGATGCTGAACGATCTGCGTACGAACAAACACTGTCTTTCTAAATCGTAACATCATTAACGAAATCGCATTTCTTTTTTTCTCTCTACGAAATCTCGTTCTCTTTACGCTATCTAAAGAACGCTCTTTGCATGTGTGTACTAAAAAGAGAAAGATGTTAAAGAGAAACAAAGAAGGAAAATAAAATGCGTACATCTTTCTGCAATGTAACCATTGGTGTGCTGTCTGCTATGTTACATGCGTGTGGCATAAGAAAAAGAAATATTCGACATTTTTCACTAAAAAAAAATCAATCGATCGGTATAATATATATACCTCCATTAAAAGCGTACGGATGATCGAAACCGCGAGCCAGAGACAACTCGATTAATTATTGGCATCTATCATTGGGACGCTTTCGTTTTGTCAGACATAAGCTGGGTAACATTCTTTAGTGTTAGAATTAATTAAAACGCTTAATTTTCATTCGTCTTGCGTGTATCGCCTTAATATCCATGGAATTTTTTTAGATGTTCAAGCAATAGTGGAGAACCATGATATCCAAAACATCATCGAGGGAGAAAGCAGAAGATCTAGCTCCGTGGATTATTTAGATACGTTTGAGGATATCCCAAAGGAAACCGTGAAAGAATTTCCAGAAGAGACCAAGGAAAAATTGTTCGAAGAGGAAAAGGAAAAGGAGACAACGGTGAAGAACGAGAGCAAATCGATTGAAACGGAGAAGAAAGAGGCCTCACAAGCAGGTTCGTGACGCACGGTAATTCGAGGATAGATGGATCACCTGTTTCGAGTCGAACGAATCTAGCTCAACATTCCGTGATGTTAATAGCGTGTGAACTGAAACGCGAAGCGATTTGGAGGATTGTTAGATCCTCTCCGATTTAGTTCCCCGTTATTTGGAACTAAACTACGACCTAACTTCGACTTAACAAATCATACTGTTATTTTCTATCCATATCTAACTCCACCAAGACTATTATAATCTAGATAAATATCTAAATGAACTTGACGAAACCGTTGATTTCGCTTTAACGTTATTAAATACATATTTTAGGTACGTATTTCGAAGAATAAGGATAACTGATATTTTACGAGGATTATTAAAATCCAAAAAAGATTTTTAAATCGACTTGACAAATTCTGACGTCATTTAAACGCTATCGAATATTCATTTCGAAGATATTCTTTTAGTGAAGCGAAGATAATTTCAGTTCGTTAGTTATCAATTTAAGAAGATACTTGATTCGATCCCATCGACGTTATCGATAAAACCTACAGTTAGTGCAATAACGAAGAGGTTGATCCATCTGGTTCCTTACAAAAGAAGTTAACCACGAGACCTATAAGACCCGTAAGCAAAAACCTAACTCTTTACATCTGTGAGATTCGATCGTCTGCGTATCGACTGAACCAGAGAAACGTTAAAAAGGTTGAAAAAACAAATGGTGAAATATCGAAAATCGGTTCGAATTAGCCGCAGAAGTCGGCACCGATCTCTCGTCTCGAGACGTCGTTCACGATTCGTTAGGCTCTCCTCCGGTGGGCAGCCGCGAGGCGTTGAACGAGCGACCGAAAATAAATCCCCGCGGAGAATCCCGTGGCTTTTAAATAAAGCAAGCGCGACTGCCGGTCAAGCTGAGCGGCTCCTCCTCGCGAAAACGCGTTTCAGGCGTTCCACGCTCTTCTTCTCTTGCGTCTCGAGCCAACCACATCAACTATTCCACTCCACGACTTTTAACTCGACTCTGTAGTCAGTAGAGAAAAAAGAAAGAAAACAGAGACAAAGAAAAAGACAGAGAAAAAAGAAAGACGAATCGACAAACGAGAAAAATAGACTTCCTTCGTGTATCGTGCTTCCTTATGTATCGTCTCATAGCCGTTCCTTAGGTCGTCTTGGGTTCAATCCTCGTCTCGTGTCGTTTCTTTTTCAGCGGGTTCGAGGACGAGTACCGATGACAACGACGACAAAGGCGTTGCTAAACGAGAAGAGAACGCAACGAGAATAGAGGCCACAACGTCTACAACGACAGGTACCATCGATGGACGGAACGAAAACGTGCCAGTCGGTGAGTGGAATTCATTGCCGCTACTGGTAGAGCGTCTTCGCGCGGCGCTTGAGCTCTCCTTAGGGGGTCGCCGCAACAACGAGCCGCCAGCGCTGCCCGAAGACTCTGGCGTCGACTCCGAGGAGGACTTCCGGATACGCAGCTCCATGGAACAAGCATTGGGTAACTGCAAAGAGCCGGAGATAAAAAAGGACCTCAAGTTTCTGGAAGATTTACTGTTGTCCGATATTCAAACAGCTCTGTCTCGTCTTCGAGAGACTTTAGAAAAAATCGATGTAACTGCTTTAGCTAAACACGGTGCCGCTTCTGATCCTACGAGTAAATTGCAATTATTAAGATTGGTATCGAGTTTATTGTCAAGGCTACAGGTGCCTGAAGAAGCAACTGAGAAAATACCGGTGCTACCATCGACGTCCTTGAGCAGGAGACGAAGAGGAACCAGACATACTATAGGTGTTTCCGCGGAAGAATTGGCTAAAGCTAGGAAGTGGTTAGAGGAGGAAAGGAATGCCTTACCTTTAGAGGGAATCACTGCTATTATAAAAGAGCAAAAAGAACAGTGTGCGTCTGGAAATGGAATTAATGTGGTTGTAGACAGGAAACCAGAGGAGATTCGTGATAAGTGCACAAAAGATGCGATTAATCAACGTCAATTGTTGGAGGATAAGAATAAGGAGATTAGAGACAATTGTGCGTTTCGTGGGATCCAACAGGTGGATGTTGCCGATACCAAAACTGCTGGAGAATTGAATATGTTTCAACCTCAGTATCGAGCTAACAGTTATCAAGACAAAGAAAATAACGAGAATATTATCGAAGATAGTGAAGAAAGAAGTCGTGTGAGTAAATTAGCAGCTGTACTTAGACAACGTGCTGAACTAACAGCTTCCGGTGGTGGCAAGTACGGGAACAATAACAAGTTCAGTGCGAAAAAATCGAAAATAAAACGTGCAAATACTATTGATATTCCTAGTTACTTGAAGCTTCAAGCTGAGAGTCTAGGTCACGAAACTACAGGTTGCGTTTCTTTGAGAAAACCAATCAACGTTGGGGACAAAGCATTTAATTCTACCAACGTTACCGTGCCTACGTTCCAACCAAAAACGGAAAACGACAGAAAATTTCTAGCTCTGATAAATAAAAATAACGAAGCACCCACAGTTGCACCGATAGTACCTTTCAAGACTTTTGGGCAAACCATGGATATGTCATCATTGACTAATGAAAATTGGAATAGTAGGTTCTCTAATATCAAGACTACCTTTGATAAACCGTCTGAGTCCGAAGAAAGGGAAAATAAACCGTCTCTGAAGTCTCGTGCCAATAAAATGTTTCCATGTCCACCTCAAACGCAAGTTTATTCTAATTCCAATCCAATATACAATCCTCACGTAACGAAAATGGACACATCCATGGGTTTTAGACACGCCCCTTCATCACCTTTCCGCAAAATAGAAAAATCTTCACCAGGATCACCGTCCAAAATTCCTCCATCATATCAATGGCCAAAAAACACACCAGTACCGACAAATACGTTGAAGGAAAAAGCTAGAATGATGTTTGACCGAGAGGGCATGCAACCCTCTTCGAAATCCTCTAGAATTAATGTAGAGAAACCTAGTTTTCCTCGACCCCCATGGATCGAGCACGAATGGAACGAGAACAGAGCGAACGATACGGTCACAGAAAATGGTAAATTGGACTATCGGTCATTTTGCAAACAGTTCGCCCCATTCGTTACCAAAACTTCTTCCATGGAATCGAAGAAACTGGAAGAACAGCGTCAACGGGAAAAAGTTTCTGGAGTAGTGGACGGTAAGATCTCTTTCAAGGTAGTCCCAGATAAGCGAGTTCAGACCCATCAATATCTTTCAGCTGAACGTCGAAATTCCAAGGAGAAAATTGATGTCGCAAAAAGTGGAAAAGAACATAGATATAGTGAAAATAGCTTTACGGATGCTACTTTGAGGGGTTGTTCATCCGTGGCTATTCAAACAGGAATCAACGAAGAACATCAGGATGAAGGCAGATCGTTCAAAGTGACACCTAGAATCTCAAAAGGTCAAAACTTGATTTGTACTAACGCCGCTGTACAAACCTCCAGCGAATTGAATAGGCCAATAATATCAGTAAATGACATAGAAACTGAAAAGCAATGGATTCCCCTATATTATGAGCAGTCTGATTCTGATCAGGTATCAGAAGATCGTCAGAGATTTATCCTGGATCACAATCAAAATTATCATACAGTGTCCAGTGATTCTGACTTCAATAGTCCTGTAGTAATATCCGGTACACATCAGGTTACTGGTGAACAAGATTTTAAGGAAATTGTGCAAATCCAAGGATTGCAGAGTCATGAAAAACAAGCTGAAAATCCTGTGAAAAGTTATCAGAATGAAGAAACAGATAAAAAAGACTATTCTCCCTCTCTCGTTTCTCCTATTTCGCCTAATTATAATCACTCCGATGAAATCTTAAATACTCCAGAACAACAAACAAGTCATCAAAAGACAGAGAAATGGTCTATAGAAGATTCTAATTTTCCAGATGATCAGAATATCCAAAACCAGGATATTAGCCCGGAAATTGGAGTGGTTACAAGATACACGTGTGCCATTGGAACAGTTGCATCATCAGTAGACAGTCCTGAACCTCGCTCTGAAGAAGTAGCAGTAGATTCCAGAACCTCCTCGTCTCCATCGCCATCACAGAGCTCCTGGTCCAGATCTAGACCACCGACTAACGAAACTCTTACTTCAGAAGATGAAATTCGTCGGCATAATTTATTGCAACAAAGCTTGGTTCGTCGTCTGCAAAATGAAATCACCTCTCTAAATGATCAACCTCATCACTCTCAATCTTCTAATTTCGGACAACACCTGACTGTTAGTCAGGGCCAATCTAGATACTTAAGTCAATCTCCTAATTTAATTCAAAGTCGACAGCAACAAAATTTCAATCCATCAACAAATATTCCGTCAAGTCAACAGCAACAGAGCTACAGCCAATCTGTAAACGTAGCTCAGAACATTCCCCATCAGCAACAGAAGTTTAATCAATCTGTAAGCACCGTTCATCAGCAACAACATTTCAGTCAACCTGCAAACTTTGATCGACCTTCAAGTTCTCAAGGATCAAGTCGATTTGCCAAATACCTAGCACCTGTTCCTCAAAAGAAAAAAGATACATCTCGAGCCCATTCACCAGGTTCAGTGTCCGGAAACAGAGTGGGTGCTTTAAAAGAAGCTTACGAACAGGTACCTAACTCTCCAACAAAACCGATTCAGAAGGAACGTTCCCCAGTTCCAAACGGGGTGGCTCCAATCGACTCCAGTGACGAATATTTGGTATCTTGTGCGACTAAACCCTCTAGATCCATAGTACTATCAAAATCAGAGTCCTGGCATCAACTGGCTCTATCTAATCGTTATCCTCGAGCTCCGAGAATGAACGTTCCAGCATCAACGACCTCGTTTCCTCATAATTCTCACACAAAACCACCCAAGCCAAGGTCTCCATCTTCTCAGAAACTGAGGTCAAAACAATTTGAAGCCTCCTCCATGGCAGACAGTGTAAAGAAAATGGAGGACAAGATTAGACAATATTTTAATCACCCGACTGACATTATTGAAACGAAGGAGTCTGTGAAACATAGAAGATCTCCTAGATTTGCATCTAAAGAAATGGTCGGACTGTCTCGTAGTCGTACTATGCCTGGTTTGTCCGATGAAAAATTACGTCTTTCAATACCGACATCTCAACAAGTGCCTTTACTAAACGTGAACACCACGGATGTTGACAAAGTGTTTGACGATTTATTCGAAGAAGCTACAAGAACCGATAATCAGTAATTATTAACTGATTGAATCATCGTACTCTTCGTTCGTTTAGCATGGCGCGTATTCGAGAAATATAAACCGCCATGTTGAATTTTCTGTGAGATCTGTTATCTCCTGGTTCAGCTGGAGAAACTGTTGTACCCTAACGATTCACGGTCGATAATTGTAATTACCTTCCAGTTCCGCGGGAGGTCTCTAATGTCGTGTTCTAATCGAAATGTTTTATTGACATGGACAGTTACGCAGTTCGATCCAATAAAAAAGAATATAAAAATGACGGTGAAAGAGAGAATAAGTGATGGACAATGTGGTAACATTCATTTAATCGAAATCAACTTAACAGCGTTATTGTGACACAGAAAAGATAGTGAAGCTTTGGAGCTATCGAAAGAAGGTTAAGTGAACTGAAAAAAAAAAAAAGAAAAAATAGTAAATCTTCGTAAAAACGACAAAAATAACAAAAATTACACGATAATACGCGAATGAAGCTCGAAGCTGCGTATTTGCGTTAATTTTGACAGAGAGGATCAACCAGCGTCAATAATTGTTCGTCGAGGAGACAAGACTGAATGCTAAACTGATTATTGCTCGCGTGTTCGGCACAAAAAGGGGCGAATTCTCTCGTGGAGAAAGTTTCTCTCTTGTTTCACGCCGAAGAAATGCCCCACGTGCGCTTTTCACTCTTGTTTGTTTCATATTTCTTTATTTTTTTCTTTTCTTCTCTTTTTTGTTCTTCTTCTTTTAATAAGCCTCGAGTCGCGCTCTACGCGCGAACACGTTTTGCGGACGGACGTTCAGAGTCGCTAGAAGGTCGTGCCAAAGCCCGAATAAAGCAGTGAGTCACAGCCCTTCTTTGTTGATCCTTTTTTGACGCGCAGTAGCGTGTAGCTTGCACCAGCCGGACTGTGCACGAAGTTTGAAGAGTAGCATATATTAGTCCATACATCTAGGCGCAGTAGAATGCAGAGGGGAACGTTGTCTGAGTATTCACGTCCAGTTTTACTTCCTTTGAAGAATTTTTGTTCCTTCTATTTGCTTCCTAAGTATTAATAACTGCCAAGTCAGTATCACTGAGTTACTATTTTAGTTAAAATAATTGATTGGTACAAGATTCATAGACTAATGTGCAAAGCGCCTTTATTTCGCTAAAGATTCTTGCATCGAAATTTTGTAAAATTTCTAACCTAATTCTTTTTCTTAGATTTTATCACTTTTTTCTATCAAATTTTTTCTTACCTATCCGTTTAGAATACTTCCTTAATAATATACTTAAAAGTTCTTTATAAGAAATAGGTTTCCTTTTATATTTCAAAGTAATGTAGTATCCGTAAACGTTGTATTCCTGTATTTCAATTTTGTGAAAATTCAATTTCAGATACTTGGACAACGTCTCCCCACTAAACAGGCGACAACACACACAACCCGAAGCTGTTTGAAACTAACGAATCTAATTGCAACATTATCTTAAAAAACGAGTTACAATTCATTCAAAAGGGGCCAGTTTACACTTGAAAGTTATAAAAGATTTCGAACTTAAAACTTTGGTGAAAAAATGAAGGCTTTATAACCTTTAATTTGCATTTTACATTCTGTATTTAATACTTGGATTCTTGGCGGAAATGAGAAATGAAGTCGCAACAACTACTGCGTTAATAAATTAAGGAATCTCGAAGAACAAAGTACTTTTAGATAAACAATTGAAATTCACTGTGTTAATGCAATACAATATATCTTTCTATTGCAAATTGCAAAAATTGACTGCACGGCGAAATAGGATATTAAAACCTATTATAAAGATTTAAAGAAAAAACGTTAAAAAGGGCTGACAACAAATTTGAAACTAGTACAAGATACGTCAAATTTTAAACATAGAATTTTGAAATATTTTAAGAAAAGCTTAAAAAAAAACTGTTCAAGAATGATAAAAATAAAAAATTACACCAAAGCTAATAGTAATTAAGAAGATAGTTAACAAGATTAACATTTTAATATCTTCTTATGATTTTTCCTTTCCTTTTTTACAAAAATTGTGAAAAGTAAAGAAAAAATCATAAAACATTAAAGATTAGTAATTATTAAAAGAAAACAAAGTAATTATTAAAAGAAAACAAAGTAATTATTCAAAAGAAAACATTTTAAAAAAAGAATTTTTTTTTCGATTGATTTCCTATGAAAAGATTTTGATAAACAGGGAATGTTTTTTCGATTGACGAAGAAACAATTCGTCCTCTATCAATACAAAAATAGCGCCC